CCAAGCAGCCGCAGGGCCATGGGAGCTGGGCAGGACCAGGAAAACTTCAGCTACAAATGGCACCCAATGGCTCGAGTTTCCAACTAAAAACTGAGAATACTTAATAAGCAATTCTAAATGGAGCCAAAAACTGGTTCCTGCTTCATGTCTCATGCGGGCAGTGAGACACCACAACATGCAGTCTTGAACTACAATATGGTGGGTACGTGGCACATGGGTTTGACCTACAGCATGGCTGCAGATTCCTGCCACAGTACACAGAGGCATCTCCAAGATGCACAGTTTGGTGCCTGGTGGATTTAGCCTTTACTAGTTAAAAAAAAAAAAAAAAAAAGGAGGTTTTTGCACTACATGATGCTGGATGGAGGAATGGACCCACCCAGACCTGGCGGTAAACTTAGTTCCGCCATGTTGGGAAACAGTTGGGCACAGCCAGCAGCCAAGGCTTCTGCTTCAGTACTAGCCACTGCAGTTTAAAGCAATAGGTTCACAATAAGACAGATTCAGATGGAACAGTTTACAATGTGTGTAAAAATTACATAGGCTTGGAAGAGAAAGAAAAAGGAATATATACAGTTATATAAAGAAATAGAGTTTTAAAAAATAAAGTCTTTAAAGAGAAAGTAAAAGTAATATTAAAAAAATAAGCCACATAAAGATGGAAATCACATAGAAAGTTTGGATTATATTCTCTGATATTTTTAACTGCAGAAAGACATTTGATTGTGAAGGCTGCTAAGTTAAACCAATATATATATTTTAGAGGTATTTTGACTTGAAAGTTTGGATCTAAGGATATGTTGCTTTGGAAAGGAGGCTCTGTTTTTGTTTCCACAGGAAACAAGAAGCTATGGATTTGTTCCAGATTAAGATACATCAGGTTTGACCAGCCAAGACTGCCTGAAAGGTCTCCGATGACACCATGGCCCAGATGATCCCAACATCCAGAATGGTTTCAAGGCAACTGGCTCAGAGAATACAGCCTCACGGACTACTCCATAATCCTAAAATTTTCTTTGTGTCCTCATAAGAATACAGAGCACTCATCCAGCAGGAAGTAGTATGAGAAGCTACGCCCAAATTCCCAAATATACCAAGCTGGCTTTGAAGATGGAATTGGCTCACTCCTTCTCTAAACCCAAGCATATTGCCAAAGAAAAGGTTGAGAGATTCTTCTGTCCTGTCCCATATTAGAAGAGCCCTCTGGTGTAGGACAGAGGAAAACCAATATTTTTATTTAAAGCAGGTTGATTATAAATGCAATCTCTTTCTAAAGAAGGGGATAGTAGAAATATGATAGTATGAAAGGGTAGATTAATGAACCTACTTTAAAGAGTAACAACTTGTTTAGAAATGTTTTACATTGCTATGGATTTTAGATTATTGATACAAGTGTAAACTTAATTTTATTATACTGTATACATATTTCTACTCTCGTTTGAGGTATTATACATAGATATAATTCAATTAGATAGGTAATCTTCAAACACTTCAAAGACCTACAAAATATGGCAGTTAAAATGTTTTAAAAATTTAGACTTTCTGGACAGTGAGAAATGACTGCTCCTGGCAGCACCAATTTACTTCAGAGAGGAGGATGGGCATCGAAGACACTCTACATGGAGTTAATCTTCTTCTTGCCAAAAATAGCCATGTGGGCAAGAAACTGTTCTTGCCCAGACTGCTTGACAAAATGATGTATCGAATGGACATGCAGGAAGAACACTTAGCTATACTGACTTTGAAACAGAGCAGGCACTTCCCTGGTAGAGAGAATGTCCTTAAAAAGACACTGTATGACTTTGTCCCATAGCCACTAAGGGCTGTTAGCTGACACATGGAGTTACAGCCAACAGCCTGTCTCTCAAACCACTGAGCTGACTTAACTGAATCAATCCAGATTGCACATACCTGCATGGGAGATTTTGCTAATTGGAAACTGAATACTTAGAAGCTCAAGCTATCCTCCCTAAACTGTGCATCCACCAATTCTGTTTGTCTTCCTTCACATGGAAGGAATTAATGCATGATGGGAAATTACACAGAAAATCACTCACCCTGTCCCATCAGGTCCTTCTTTGTAATGGAGAGGCCTGCAGCTCACTGCCTTCAACTTCAGTCTGGGATCTAGCTATTGTCTAGTCTGTTTCCCCCTGCACTGTACGCAGTACACTGCTCCTCCTCTTCTGTTCTGAAGGGAGAAGCCATGCTCCCCACACAAATCCTTTCCCTGTTCTGCAATGGACAGCCTACTATGTGACTCAAACTGGCAAGTTTAGAACTCTGATGTGCTGCAGACCTATAATCCAAGAATTTAGGGTGGTTAGTCAGGAGGCTAGCAAGGGCAATGCCCTGTGGGCAGCAGAAAAGGTTCAAGTACACCTCAATCAATATGGGAGACCTTAACTCAAAACTGCTTTTCAAAAAGGCTGGAGATGCAGCTGTTCAAGAATTATAATACCTTCATAGCACACCAGGACTTGATGTTGGTTGTGACCCTGTAACGGCTCCTTAAGCAGCATGTTGGAGGCCTTTGAAGGTAGGTGGGCCTTTAGGTAGCTTGTAAATCTGGCTTGTCTCATTTGTTATGGGAATGTAGCTTAACAGCTGATTAATCCTGGTGAACAAACATTTACATCTTACCATACTAATTTCTAACAACAGGCATGGTTAGCATACTACTTATCTTTGGGGTATTTGGGATGCAGCCCTCCCTCAGCTAAATTCTACTTTGTGTGACTTAATGTCTCCTAAGAACTGGTAAATCCTTATACCATCAATTCTACTTTTCTACATCACAGTTTAGCAGTGGAATGCTACTCTACACAGGAGATAGTGTTTACAAGCTCCACATAGTTAATTCCAGATGGATCCTAAACCTAAATGTTAAATGTTAAAAGTACAGAACTTCTGGAAGATACTAGAGAGGCCAGTGCTCTCTGAGTTTGGCAAATCTGGTGATGTCTCTCTCTCCACATGTGACAATATAAGCACTATAGGCACCAGCATTTCACAGTGATGTTAACAACAAGGATATTTCTAAGCACAGTTCCACTCCCAATGCTCTGCACAAACACAGCCCAGGGAGTGAAGTTATTCAGAGGCTGCCAGCCTGGCCCAGGGAGATGCGAGGACTAAACAGGACCGTGATGGACCAGGCAGGACCAGGTAGGAACTTGCCAAACTGCTCTAAGGTAGTAAAATAGAAATGCCTCAGAGTAGCTAGGGATAAGAAACTTTTTTATCTGAGGGCAATTAAGAATAAGTCTCTGTCTAACTGACTGGTAAAATAAGGAAGCATACATGCTTTCTCTTTTACTTCATCTTAAAAATGGTCTCTGACTCTTTCTGTCTCCACACAGTTACAAATCTCCACATTGCTACACTCTGTACATACAGCTACATATCTTTCTTATGGCCATACACTTCTATACACAGTTACATCTATTTTCACATGTCTGCACATCTTTCTTTTACATACATTACTCTTCTACTTTTCTTTTTTATGTAGTGTCTTCTTCCTTGCCTCCACACAGTTATAATTCTCCACACGGCCATAGCTATACATCTCATATACATAGCTCTCTCACCATGTAACACCTTACACCACTCCTACACACTCTCATACAGCTCTTTACACAGTTTCTATATGTAGCGGCAACTCTTTCACACACTCACTCACACACACACACATGCTTCTTCTATATCATTCACTCACTCTTAGCTCACTCACTCTCTCATTAATTCATTCTCTCATCCTCTCTAGGCTTCTTCTTCATCTCTCACTCAGCATACATACACTTTACTCACATTCTGCACAGCTTCATCCCTACAATGATGCTATTCCTTCCTTAGCCAAACTCTGGACAATTATTTGTTACATTTTTCAGGGCCCAACCTATTCTCATAACACATGAAGTCACACAGTTTTTCTCAGGCTAGTAGGGACACAAAGACCGGCCAATGAGAGTATACACTTGGCCTTGCACTTAACTTTTTCCCAGACGGAGAACGACATTGAAATTCAGGACTAAACAGTAACAGTAGGAGGTAGAGCAGAAAGAGAAGGACTGCAAAGAACTATGTCTCAATGTAAACAGCCTAGCCTTGATTTAGCAATAAACAACACCTGGGAATTAGTCTTTGTGTATTTTCTACAGGGGCAGTTTAGTCTGATTGAATCTGTTCTCAAGTCTAAAATTAGCCGTCTTTGAGAATGAAAATATTGTTACTTTCCTGTGTCAGTAAAGAGGAATATTCTGGTATTACTTCTATACATCAGAATTATACAGCTTAGACAGAAATCAACTTCCCGACCATCCACAACTGTAAGTGTGCCCAAAGACGTAAAACACACTACCAAAGGGCTGCGCAAAAACCCTCCACAGCTGTTCTTATTAGGGAGGTAAGGTGGTGGCACATGAGGAAGTTACAGACAGAAAACAACCAGTCAGTTACAGCCAGTGACCCCACTGCTTTACCTAATGGGGACACCCCGTGAATTTTATTTAGTGGGGCTCCATCATGGACTTTCCCTAGTGGGACTCCCCAACAAAGAGTTATACATCTGGTGGGTCCACCTGTAAAACGCGCGCTGTCACCTGCTGTATATTCCCACAGCCTCCTGCAAACAAGGATATTTCTAAGCTCAGTTCCACTCCCAATGCTCTGCACAGACACGGCCCAAGGAGTGAAGTTATTCAGAGGCTGCCAGCCTGGCCCAGGGAGTTGCAAGGACCACTTAGGACCACTTAGGACCAGGCAGGACCGGGCAGGAACACGCCACGCGGAACTCTGAGTCTGGCCATTGGCTCCCACCCAGGCAGGGGAGGACGCACCAAAACGACTCCCGTGCCTCAGCAGGCCGCTCCACCTAGTCTAAGGACAGCGGCCCCTCACTCACCACGACCAGCCACTCCTCCCCGCCAGGGGGCAGCGGTCCCTCGCCTCACCAAGACCAGCCACTCCTCCCCGCTTGGGGGCAGCGGCCCCTCACTCACCATGGCCGGCCAATCCTCTTTTCCTGGGGACAGCAGCCCCTCGCTCGTCTTGGCCCACCATTCTTCCCCATCTGTGGAGAGCAACCACTCGCTCACCATGGTGGGGCTACCGAGCTGACCCAGCTCTCCACACAATCGAGCCCAAGGTGCAGCGCAAACCGCAACTTCCGACTTCCTCACAAGAGCTGAGCCTGTAAGCCTGGCTCCCGGAAGAACCCTCCCATCTGACTGGCAGGTCCGCTGGAAGCTCTGATTGGCTAGTGAGGCCTGAGTGACAGGACCAGGTGAGCAGAGGGGACACAGCACAGCGGTTCCCAGCCTTGGCATCCAATCTAAGGACAGACCTATTCCAGACTGACTGGAGATTTGTGCCAAATTCAACAGCAAGTCTCTTGTTAATGTGAATCAGTGGGTCCAGTTTTAAAAGGAAGTACACAAATTCAAAAGGAGGCTAGTCAGACAATGTTGCACCAGAGGCACTCAGAGTAACTCAAAAACATTATAAACAAAATCTACAGTGGATACATGGAGACTGATAACCACAGCCTCTTGTGTGGAAAGTGTTGGGTTCTCAGAATCTGAAGCAATACCTTTCCAAAGACCCTGGCCCCAGACCACTACCAACTCTCCCAAGCATATTCCCATATCAGAGATGGAGCTCTGTTTTTGCTCTGTACAGCAGGGCCTTAGAGAAACCGCTCAAAGCCTAGGCAGATTGTCAAACTCGTAGAGACCTAGTTTCAAATATCTTCTAGAAGTTATGCATCTTGCTTTTGACATGTATGTGTAAGATCCATTTGTAGTTAATTTGTGGAGGTTGTAAATGTGTGTCATGTACTGGGTAGCACTCCACTACTAAGCTGTGATATAGAAGAGTACAACGGGTGATAAAAAGAATTGACCAATGCTTAGGAGATAGTAATTCACACAAAGTAGAATTTAGCTAAGGGAGGGCTGCCTCTGAAATACCCCAAAGATAAGTAGTATGTTAACCAGGGCTGTTAGAGATTTGGATGCTAGGATGTAAATGAGTCTTCACACCTTTTATGTATACTGTTATTGGTCACATGTCTGTAGTTAAAAACAGTGAGTGCAATGCTTATCCATGGAGGATAGAGAGACACTCTGTGTAAAGATCTCTCTATAGTAAGCTGGGGCATCGTAGTTTTAAGAAAGATTTCTTAGTTGTGTTATACTGGATGCTGTAACATCAATTCCATGATGTTTTGTTTAGTTTTTGCTGTTTCTTAGTATTGACTATATACTGGAATTAAAATCCATAAGCATGGTTATAGCAGTGATGCCATATATTATATGAAGAGTGTCGTGTGTTTTCTCTAAGGTTTAGTTTAACAGATTGTACCTAGGAAATATTAATTTATTACATTGTCTTAAACACAGTTTGCATTCAGCATTCTTTTTTTAGTTGTTGTTGCTCGGCACTGTCTTAAGACAAACAACTAGCACCTTCCTAGGATCAGCTGTGCCTGCTTACAAAGGATGCCCACCACCAGGTTTGCTGACTTTTGATATTCCATCATGGAAGGAGGTATCCCCTTATTCTGGGTGTACAGCCTCTTTTGAATGTCTTTTGGCATCTAAATCTGGATTTCTTCAACATTCCTCCCAAAGTCTTCATCTGCAGTTCCTTTGCAGCAACAAAGTCACTTTTGGTGTAACACAATATGTTCTAACTTGGCTGCAGATATGTGTGTCAGGTTACAGATCTCAGAAGCTAACATGAAACATATGGACAAGGTCAAACAGTATCTTATTCATGCCATTCCCTCTGCCAGGGAATGGCCTGATATTTTTCAAAGTAAGGGTAGCTATGTGTTTTTTCAGTTATATTTATCTTTTAAAAGTCTATTATTGGTATCATTTTTTATTTCATTTTGTTTTAATGCACTACTGCTCTTACCTCTATTTCTTTCCTTTCTCCAGTGTTTCTAGGTCATTAATAGTTTCACTCCTTTTTTTCCTCAAGTGCAAAATTAGTTATTTATTTCTGTTTACGGCAATGTCTCCTGTAGCCCAGGCTTGCCTCCTGATATGTAATTTAGAATTGCTTTGAACACCCAATCCTATCTCTGCTGCACAGTGCTGGCAAAACAGTCCTGCAGCTCCTTCCAGGCTGGGTCTTACCTGGTTAGTGAGAAGGTAAAATAAACCAGTTTATAATTGTTCTCCAATCTCTCTGACTTTTATTGGGCATGTTCAAATGAAGAGGACCTGTGTAATAATTGAGTTCACTGATCAACTTTAATCAAGTTTAGTTACAGCACAGACAGGGCGGGGCAAGAAGGAGAGTGAAAGCTTTCCGGCTCTGACAATAGTCGACATTAGTAACAAGTACTGAAGTAATCAATATTAGATGATCAATAAATGTCCTGACTGGTCACAGACTAGAAAATTAAGAATCTGGACAAAGAACTGAACTTTTCAGGCTGGGCGGTGGTGGTGCATACCTTTTAATCTCAGCACTTGGAAGACAGAGGCAGGTGGACCTCTGTGAGTTCGAGGCCAGCCTAGTCTACAGAGTGAGTTCCAGGACAGCCAGAACTGTTTCACAGAGAAATCCTGTCTCAACTCCCTCCCCTAAAAAAAGAACTGAAGTTTCATGAAACTAATTACTGTAGTTACTCTAGTTCAGCCATAATAGACTATCTTTGTAAATGGTGTGGTCCTGACTAACAGGACTGTTATTTTTCAGGTTTAAGATGTACACCTTGAATGAAAAGTGTGAATAATTCTTGATATGCTTTTGTACAAATCCCTAGTCACTGGAGAACATGGTAATAAATTCTGTTTCCACTTTTCAGAATAATTTTTGGGATTATAATTGCATCATTTCCACTGTCTCTTTCCTGCCTCCAAGCCCAAGTGTGTCACTCATTCCAGGCTGGACCTTTACTGTTAAGTGAGAAGGAAAAAGAGACAGGAATGAGTGTCCTAATGCAGCCCAGGCTTTTATTGGGGAGTGGTGATGCAGAGATGCTTGTGTAAGAATGGGAATTCATTGTCCACACATTATAAGCTGTCATGGCCATAGTGCAGAAAGGTAAGGGTGGAAGGAGCCTTAAAAATTTCCAGTTTTGTCAGCAGTTGGGATTGCCAATGGGCAATCAGTTAATCAATTATAGGTGATATATAAATGTCCTGAGTGGCCATTTCTTGGACTCCCCAGACCACATTCCTTGGCCAGGAGATGGACCTGTCCCCATTCTAATGTTAGGTCTGCACCCAGGACAGAGATTCTATTCTCTTGACTAAGGGCCTTTTAACAGGCCTTCATTACTACTTTTAACTTTCCTCCTTCCTAAGGCCCCTAGAATCACTCAACATCCGAGATCAGAGCTCCCAAAACACTTTTGGCATTTCTGGTCTCCGGCAAGGATGAAACTGCTAAGAGTCCCAGTGACACTTTTAGCTTTTAGTCAAGAAAGCAACAAGTTACTTTTCTGTTTTTTTTTTTTTTAACCCTAAATTGTCTAGTTGATTTCTACCTCAAGTTCTTATCCCACCTCCCTCTGAAGAGGTAACCCTAACTGCCTTTGTGGGATTGGAGCAATGACTGATCTGGTTTTTTCCAGTTGAATTTGGGGTATCAGGTGGCAATATTGGGATATCCTTCCAGAGGGCCTCCTGTAAAGACTAAACTCTCAAATATAGCCTGGAAAGGAATTCCTTTACTGGTGTCTAGGCAGAACTAAAATATGCAAAGTCCATAAGACATTCTTGATGGGCTCACAATGTCCCCCATTAGATGTTTCCTTTTAACTTCTACAGTTGGTCCCCAGAGTGGTGAACCCACAACCAGCTTTCACATCCTTTTCATCAACCAAAAGGCATCATGAAGCCCTTCCCATGTGGCTTCTGGACAGGGAAAGAAGTGGTATTTGGCATCATTTAATCTGGGGTTAAAATAATCATGGGCCTGTCTTCCTTGGCTGTGGGCAGGTGCTCAGGGAGCCAAGGTCTAATATCTCACATCTGGGCAACATCTTTTTATCAAGAAGAAAATATTAGTGAGATTGGTTGTCTAAATAACATCTCATGTAGACTTAACATCTAATGTCTGTGGAATGTGATCCCTTTTAGTCTTTGGTTAAACTTTCCTCCTGAGTGCTAAAGACCATGCAGGTTACCAAAATTAATCTTTTTTTGTGTTTTCAAGTCCAGTTGAGCAACTAGTTCTCAGGGGTCACTTGGGCTTGAAAGGAACCTCAGACTCTTCTAGTCTTTCTTTTTACAAGTTTTCCATCAATGTGAGGATAAGACAAAGGCTTTGCTTTATCTACTGTGGCTTCCTTTGAAGCCTTGAAGAAATTTTTCCTATATTGATATGCCTTTTGTTGACTCAATAATGTTTCAAAGACAGCAAGTGATCAATAGCCTTTGTTCCCAGGGACCTCATTGACCTTGTATGGAAAGGGGGAGAAATAGTCTCCCTTTTAGTCCCTTTCAACACATTAGAATAGCCTCCAAGAATGATTACTAAACACCCAGAAGATCGGTTTTACACTGGTTTGGTACTTTTAACTACTGTCAACTATTTCAATAGCCAGACATAATTCAATAAACTTTGTTTTATATACATTTTAGGCTGTTCTTGAAATAGTTGATATCTGACCTTGCCAACTTTAATAAATATATGATCTCTAAATCCAATCCTTTATGTACCTTAAACAACTTACTCAGACCTTCATAACTTATAAAAGTTTTCTAGTCTTCTTTATCTGTAGTCATCCAGTCATCATCATCTTCATATATCTAAGTCCTTCTTTACTAAGTCATTTCCACATTTATATTCTTCTAACCTATTCTTTTATGTACTGTTTCCTTTTCTAATACCATGAGACATAAGAACATTAACAAATATGTTTATGATCTGTTAGAATTTTCTCCCCCATGGAGGGGGAGGAAGCAATGTCTATCCCATTCCAAGTGATGATGCAAAGTACAATTTTACCAAAGTCCTGGGGAAACAATTAGTTTACAGAGCTTACTTACTGAGCATGGTTGAAAATATATTTACAAGGGTGTAGCTGTGTGTTCGCTACACAAGTATGTGGGTTCACGCGGATCCGTGGAATGAAGACACAGAGGCATCTTAAGAATGAATCTAGCCTTTCATGGCTGTAGGAGAGTCCAGCCTTGAAGGACTGAAGCACTCTTCCCTTCACCTAGGGCATATTTATTTACTCTTTTTTACAGTTTAGACAGTTAATTTCCATACCTTCAAAGCAACCCAAAAGAAGTTCCCAGAGACCAAATGCCAGGTGCAAATTACTTGATTTCTCAGGTACCTCGGTTTTCCGGGTTTCCTGGACCAAGTTTTGTATAGGCCTTTGATCCTTGGAGGACTCTCTGATGACAAGATTCACGTAGGGTGATAAGAAAAACAAAAAGTAAGAGAAACAAAAGGTGTGGCTTAACAAAGGAAGGATTAGGTCTAGGTGCTGATCTCTGGAGCCAAGCCAGGAGCTCAACAGAAATGCCACTACACAAGGGTTTTGATACTGTGGTGGTTTTAGTCAAAATGGCCCTCAAAATCCCATAGGGGGTGGCACCAAAGGAGGTGCGGCCTTGTTGGAGTAGGTGTAGCCTTGTTGAAGGAAATGTGTCACACTCACTTTGTGCTGCCTGCTGATCTGGATGTAGAACTCTCAGCTCTTTCTCCAGCAACACATCTGCCTGCACGCCACCATGCTTCCTGCCATGACAATAATGGACTAAACCCTCTAAAACTGTAAGTCAGCCCCAATGAAATGTTTTCCTTTATAAGTGTTACTGAAGTCATGGTGTCTCTTCACAGCAATACAAACTCTAAGAAACCCCAAAGCAGCTACACAGAAATGTCTCCACCTAGTATGTACAATGGCTCTCCCATAGCTGCAGGTGTGCTTACCCTCTCTCTACTCTTCCACTGCACATACACTCTCCATTACATTACATTTCTTAGTGGACTTAGGAAGTAAGCAGTTGTGGGAATATGATCCCTTCAGCCAATGGCGTTAGGGTAATGAGTCCTATGGGCATTGTTTTCTCTGTGTATGTGACCACATAAGAAGTGAGGAGAGGGTTGCTTGCTCTCTTGGATTTGGAAGGTGTCCTGACTCCATGGTTTGGTGACCTAGTATGGAGCTTTCTTCATTCTTCCATGGCAGATGAAGAGCCAGTTATTCAACCTGTATTCCTACATTCTGTATTCGTGAGTGTGCTACTCCTGTTTAACCCTCTAATAAACTCTTGAACAGTCTTTTGTGGGTTCTCACTTCAGTAAGCCTGATAGCACTCAAGGCAATTTTCCACTTTTAACAATGACTTTCTCATAGATGCATACACAGAATCCACTTCCTCTCAAGTTTTTCCCAGGCTATGTCCTCTAGCTCCTCCCCCAAACCACAAGGTCACATGTCATTAGGGCTAAATCCCATATAGTACCTGGAAAAGAGGCTGTATACCCAGAATAAGGGGATACCTCCTTCCATGATGGAATATCAAAAGTCAGCAAACCTGGTGGTGGGCATCCTTTGTAAGCAGGCACAGCTGATCCTAGGAAGGTGCTAGTTGTTTGTCTTAAGACAGTGCCGAGCAACAACAACTAAAAAAAGAATGCTGAATGCAAACTGTGTTTAAGACAATGTAATAAATTAATATTTCCTAGGTACAATCTGTTAAACTAAACCTTAGAGAAAACACACGACACTCTTCATATAATATATGGCATCACTGCTATAACCATGCTTATGGATTTTAATTCCAGTATATAGTCAATACTAAGAAACAGCAAAAACTAAACAAAACATCATGGAATTGATGTTACAGCATCCAGTATAACACAACTAAGAAATCTTTCTTAAAACTACGATGCCCCAGCTTACTATAGAGAGATCTTTACACAGAGTGTCTCTCTATCCTCCATGGATAAGCATTGCACTCACTGTTTTTAACTACAGACATGTGACCAATAACAGTATACATAAAAGGTGTGAAGACTCATTTACATCCTAGCATCCAAATCTCTAACAGCCCTGGTTAACATACTACTTATCTTTGGGGTATTTCAGAGGCAGCCCTCCCTTAGCTAAATTCTACTTTGTGTGAATTACTATCTCCTAAGCATTGGTCAATTCTTTTTATCACCCGTTGTACTCTTCTATATCACAGCTTAGTAGTGGAGTGCTACCCAGTACATGACACACATTTACAACCTCCACAAATTAACTACAAATGGATCTTACACATACATGTCAAAAGCAAGATGCATAACTTCTAGAAGATATTTGAAACTAGGTCTCTACGAGTTTGACAATCTGCCTAGGCTTTGAGCGGTTTCTCTAAGGCCCTGCTGTACAGAGCAAAAACAGAGCTCCATCTCTGATATGGGAATATGCTTGGGAGAGTTGGTAGTGGTCTGGGGCCAGGGTCTTTGGAAAGGTATTGCTTCAGATTCTGAGAACCCAACACTTTCCACACAAGAGGCTGTGGTTATCAGTCTCCATGTATCCACTGTAGATTTTGTTTATAATGTTTTTGAGTTACTCTGAGTGCCTCTGGTGCAACATTGTCTGACTAGCCTCCTTTTGAATTTGTGTACTTCCTTTTAAAACTGGACCCACTGATTCACATTAACAAGAGACTTGCTGTTGAATTTGGCACAAATCTCCAGTCAGTCTGGAATAGGTCTGTCCTTAGATTGGATGCCAAGGCTGGGAACCGCTGTGCTGTGTCCCCTCTGCTCACCTGGTCCTGTCACTCAGGCCTCACTAGCCAATCAGAGCTTCCAGCGGACCTGCCAGTCAGATGGGAGGGTTCTTCCGGGAGCCAGGCTTACAGGCTCAGCTCTTGTGAGGAAGTCGGAAGTTGCGGTTTGCGCTGCACCTTGGGCTCGATTGTGTGGAGAGCTGGGTCAGCTCGGTAGCCCCACCATGGTGAGCGAGTGGTTGCTCTCCACAGATGGGGAAGAATGGTGGGCCAAGACGAGCGAGGGGCTGCTGTCCCCAGGAAAAGAGGATTGGCCGGCCATGGTGAGTGAGGGGCCGCTGCCCCCAAGCGGGGAGGAGTGGCTGGTCTTGGTGAGGCGAGGGACCGCTGCCCCCTGGCGGGGAGGAGTGGCTGGTCGTGGTGAGTGAGGGGCCGCTGTCCTTAGACTAGGTGGAGCGGCCTGCTGAGGCACGGGAGTCGTTTTGGTGCGTCCTCCCCTGCCTGGGTGGGAGCCAATGGCCAGACTCAGAGTTCCGCGTGGCGTGTTCCTGCCCGGTCCTGCCTGGTCCTAAGTGGTCCTAAGTGGTCCTTGCAACTCCCTGGGCCAGGCTGGCAGCCTCTGAATAACTTCACTCCTTGGGCCGTGTCTGTGCAGAGCATTGGGAGTGGAACTGAGCTTAGAAATATCCTTGTTTGCAGGAGGCTGTGGGAATATACAGCAGGTGACAGCGCGCGTTTTACAGGTGGACCCACCAGATGTATAACTCTTTGTTGGGGAGTCCCACTAGGGAAAGTCCATGATGGAGCCCCACTAAATAAAATTCACGGGGTGTCCCCATTAGGTAAAGCAGTGGGGTCACTGGCTGTAACTGACTGGTTGTTTTCTGTCTGTAACTTCCTCATGTGCCACCACCTTACCTCCCTAATAAGAACAGCTGTGGAGGGTTTTTGCGCAGCCCTTTGGTAGTGTGTTTTACGTCTTTGGGCACACTTACAGTTGTGGATGGTCGGGAAGTTGATTTCTGTCTAAGCTGTATAATTCTGATGTATAGAAGTAATACCAGAATATTCCTCTTTACTGACACAGGAAAGTAACAATATTTTCATTCTCAAAGACGGCTAATTTTAGACTTGAGAACAGATTCAATCAGACTAAACTGCCCCTGTAGAAAATACACAAAGACTAATTCCCAGGTGTTGTTTATTGCTAAATCAAGGCTAGGCTGTTTACATTGAGACATAGTTCTTTGCAGTCCTTCTCTTTCTGCTCTACCTCCTACTGTTACTGTTTAGTCCTGAATTTCAATGTCGTTCTCCGTCTGGGAAAAAGTTAAGTGCAAGGCCAAGTGTATACTCTCATTGGCCGGTCTTTGTGTCCCTACTAGCCTGAGAAAAACTGTGTGACTTCATGTGTTATGAGAATAGGTTGGGCCCTGAAAAATGTAACAAATAATTGTCCAGAGTTTGGCTAAGGAAGGAATAGCATCATTGTAGGGATGAAGCTGTGCAGAATGTGAGTAAAGTGTATGTATGCTGAGTGAGAGATGAAGAAGAAGCCTAGAGAGGATGAGAGAATGAATTAATGAGAGAGTGAGTGAGCTAAGAGTGAGTGAATGATATAGAAGAAGCATGTGTGTGTGTGTGAGTGAGTGTGTGAAAGAGTTGCCGCTACATATAGAAACTGTGTAAAGAGCTGTATGAGAGTGTGTAGGAGTGGTGTAAGGTGTTACATGGTGAGAGAGCTATGTATATGAGATGTATAGCTATGGCCGTGTGGAGAATTATAACTGTGTGGAGGCAAGGAAGAAGACACTACATAAAAAAGAAAAGTAGAAGAGTAATGTATGTAAAAGAAAGATGTGCAGACATGTGAAAATAGATGTAACTGTGTATAGAAGTGTATGGCCATAAGAAAGATATGTAGCTGTATGTACAGAGTGTAGCAATGTGGAGATTTGTAACTGTGTGGAGACAGAAAGAGTCAGAGACCATTTTTAAGATGAAGTAAAAGAGAAAGCATGTATGCTTCCTTATTTTACCAGTCAGTTAGACAGAGACTTATTCTTAATTGCCCTCAGATAAAAAAGTTTCTTATCCCTAGCTACTCTGAGGCATTTCTATTTTACTACCTTAGAGCAGTTTGGCAAGTTCCTACCTGGTCCTGCCTGGTCCATCACGGTCCTGTTTAGTCCTCGCATCTCCCTGGGCCAGGCTGGCAGCCTCTGAATAACTTCACTCCCTGGGCTGTGTTTGTGCAGAGCATTGGGAGTGGAACTGTGCTTAGAAATATCCTTGTTGTTAACATCACTGTGAAATGCTGGTGCCTATAGTGCTTATATTGTCACATGTGGAGAGAGAGACATCACCAGATTTGCCAAACTCAGAGAGCACTGGCCTCTCTAGTATCTTCCAGAAGTTCTGTACTTTTAACATTTAACATTTAGGTTTAGGATCCATCTGGAATTAACTATGTGGAGCTTGTAAACACTATCTCCTGTGTAGAGTAGCATTCCACTGCTAAACTGTGATGTAGAAAAGTAGAATTGATGGTATAAGGATTTACCAGTTCTTAGGAGACATTAAGTCACACAAAGTAGAATTTAGCTGAGGGAGGGCTGCATCCCAAATACCCCAAAGATAAGTAGTATGCTAACCATGCCTGTTGTTAGAAATTAGTATGGTAAGATGTAAATGTTTGTTCACCAGGATTAATCAGCTGTTAAGCTACATTCCCATAACAAATGAGACAAGCCAGATTTACAAGCTACCTAAAGGCCCACCTACCTTCAAAGGCCTCCAACATGCTGCTTAAGGAGCCGTTACAGGGTCACAACCAACATCAAGTCCTGGTGTGCTATGAAGGTATTATAATTCTTGAACAGCTGCATCTCCAGCCTTTTTGAAAAGCAGTTTTGAGTTAAGGTCTCCCATATTGATTGAGGTGTACTTGAACCTTTTCTGCTGCCCACAGGGCATTGCCCTTGCTAGCCTCCTGACTAACCACCCTAAATTCTTGGATTATAGGTCTGCAGCACATCAGAGTTCTAAACTTGCCAGTTTGAGTCACATAGTAGGCTGTCCATTGCAGAACAGGGAAAGGATTTGTGTGGGGAGCATGGCTTCTCCCTTCAGAACAGAAGAGGAGGAGCAGTGTACTGCGTACAGTGCAGGGGGAAACAGACTAGACAATAGCTAGATCCCAGACTGAAGTTGAAGGCAGTGAGCTGCAGGCCTCTCCATTACAAAGAAGGACCTGATGGGACAGGGTGAGTGATTTTCTGTGTAATTTCCCATCATGCATTAATTCCTTCCATGTGAAGGAAGACAAACAGAATTGGTGGATGCACAGTTTAGGGAGGATAGCTTGAGCTACTAAGTATTCAGTTTCCAATTAGCAAAATCTCCCATGCAGGTATGTGCAATCTGGATTGATTCAGTTAAGTCAGCTCAGTGGTTTGAGAGACAGGCTGTTGGCTGTAACTCCATGTGTCAGCTAACAGCCCTTAGTGGCTATGGGACAAAGTCATACAGTGTCTTTTTAAGGACATTCTCTCTACCAGGGAAGTGCCTGCTCTGTTTCAAAGTCAGTATAGCTAAGTGTTCTTCCAATTATTTTTAACATTTTAAAAAGTCAGTTATTGGTATCATTTTTAAAATTTTTTTCTTTAAATGCATTGCTGCTATGTAGCAGGAATCTTAAAAGTTCTTATTAATAAAATCAAACCTGAGCCAGTTATTGGGGTGAAATGCTGGATGGTCAGAGAGAGAAAACAAGCCAGAGCTAATCTCACCTGGTCAACTTCTCAGCTGGTCTTGTTTCCTCAGACTGGAAGCTTCTGTGTCTTCATCCCAATGGCTCTCAGCTGAACTGCTGCTCAGGGCCTAAAAGCTTAACCAGCCAAATGCTTAACCAGCCAAATGCTTCTAGTTTCTGGTCTTCACTCCTTATATACCTTTCTGCTTTCTACCACCACTCCCTGGGATTAAAGGCGTGAGTCACCAAGCCTGGCCGTTTCCAATGTGGCCTTGAACTCACAGAGATCCAGAGGGATTTCTGCCTCTCGAGTGTTAGGATTAAAGGTGTGAGTGCCACCATTTTCTAGCCTTTGTATCTAGCGGCTGTTCTGTCTCTGAACCCAGATAAGTTTATTAGGGTGCACAATATTTTGGGGAACATAATACCACCACACTGCTATAATCTCTGTGTTTCTCTTTTTCATATATATATTTTTTTTGGTTTAAGAATTTCATTCTATTTTTTTCTTAAGTGCTATTTATTTGTTTATTTATATTGGTTTAGAACAGTGGTTCTCAACCTGTGGGATCTCAGCTCCCTTTTTGGGAATCAAATGACCCTATCAGAGGACTGGCCCAAGACCATTGGAAAACACAAATATTTATATTGCAGTTCCTAACAGCCAAATTATAGTTATGAAGTAGCAGTGAAAATAATTTTATTGATGGGTGAAGGGGTCACCACATCATGAGGAACTAACTGTATTAATGAGTAACAACATTAGGAATGTTGAGAAACACTGGTTTTCATCAGTGCCTCATGTAGCTCAGGCTTGCCCTGCTTTATATAATTAAGAATTACTTTGAACTCCTAATCCTGCCTCTGCTGCCCAGTGCTGGAAAGGCAGTCCTGCAACTCCTTCCAGGCTGGGTCTTAACTGGTCTGTGGGAATGAAAAATAGACCAGTGAATGAATATCCTCCAAGTTCTCTAGATTTTATTGTGAATTACAAATGAAGTGTGACCTGTGTAAGAATTGCATTCACTGAAGAACTGTAAAGCAGGTGTAGTCACAGCACAGTAAGGGAGGGACAAGAAGGCAGGTGAAAGCTTTCGTGCTTTGACAATAGTTGACATTAGCAATGAGTATTTAGGGAATCAATTTTCGATGACTGGCCATTTCTTGTGTCCAGAGACCAGACAATCAAGAAGCTGGATAAAGAACTGAACTTATCATTAAACCAAATTATTGTAGTTACACCAGTTCGACCTAAATAGGAAAACTGGATAAAAATGATGTGGCCCTGCCTATCATGACTGTATTTTCCAGGTTTAAGATGATAACCTCGAGAGAAATGGCATGAGTAGTACTTGGTGTGCTCTAATACAAATCCCTAGTCTCTGGAGCACATGGCCATAAAGCCTGTTTCAACTTTTTAAGATTTTTGGGGGGAGGGTGGGGGGGATTATAATTACACTATTTCCACTATCTCTTTCCTGCCTCCAAACCCTTCCATAAACCCTTCTTTGTATTCTAACTCATGGCCTCTTTTTGTTTAACAACAGTTACTGTTTGAATGTAACCTGT